TAAATTGTTCACAATTTCAGTCAAAGTGAAACATTAATTTCAAATGTATATTCATAATTATTACTCATTACTATCCACAAATTTTGTGGAATTTACTACTATTCTTCATGATAAATTGATCATAAATTTTGCCAGACATAGGCTTTTTGTTTTTTTTGTTTTTTTGTTTTTTTGTTTTTTTTTTTTTTATTTCGGTTTACTGTAAGTTTCAGTCGTGATTGAGATTAAGGCTTAATCCATATGATATGGATACCGAATTCTCATTGTTTTCTTATTGTAGATGTTGCTTCTATGCTATTGAAAAAGTATCCAAAGCTGGGTGTTACCCAAGATCAAAGTGGCAATTCCACTCTCAAAATATTGGTTCACAAGCCTTCAGCATTTCTTAGTGGGACTGAGCTTACTTTCTGGGAAAGATGGATCTACCATTGTAAGTATATAAATGCTCTCCTATTAATTTCATTCACAAACAATTACCACAAAGGTACATTTAGATAAATTTTAGTTTCCTTTTCATACTATCTAGTACAATATAAAAATATAAATACACATGTTGAACGTTGATTGTTTTGAAAAGTATTTTGAATATTTTACAAAAGGTATAAGAGTACATACACCTTGGGACAGTCATCATGGGTCCCATGAAAAGGAGCATGTAGAAATGCAAACATCAAGTACTAGTCATGATCACAACATTCAAATTTCTGAATCAAGCGACGAAGATGCACACGGTGGCCTAACTATGACTACTCGAGGTACATCAAATAGTCCCTCCCCTTCTTGTTCAGGTCTTCTTCACGCACCTAAATTTAGTTTAGAGTATAAATCAGGCCATGATTGACTCGTGGACCACCCCTGGCTCTGCTCGGCCAGTCCATCTCAGGCCCAAGTCTTTTTCTAAATTTATTTTGAACATGTGAACCCATGTTCCTTCGCAGTTGAGCCCAGCCAAATGTAGATGTAGGCTGACCATGCCATGGCCTGTGATGGACCCGGCTGTGCTTTCATGGGTTAAGGTACATTTTGATACCTCTAAGTCAATTCTTGTATTGCAGTTCTAGAATTGGGGTGCAAATTAGGTTGGCGGATATTGAAATTCCTCGGTAAGTATAATCTTCCTATTTATATATTATTCCTGCTGCACATGAATTGAATTTTTTCTTAATTTTTCAGCTCCAAAGATCAATTACATACATGAGAGGAAGTTAGTCCATGTTGAAGTTGCAAATCTCCTAATTGTCGTGTTTAAAGAAGTGCATCGTCTGAACAAATCAGAGCTCGACAAAATGGACATGGATACAATAATATATGATGCCATAAAGCATGGAATTCATGAATTTATAGAAGAAATGATTGAATATAAACCTGAAATTATATGGAGAAGAGATAAAAAGAGGAGAACAATTTTTTCACACGCAATTGTTTTGCGTCAGGAGAAGATTTATAGCCTTATATTTGATTTAGGAACAGAGAAGAGGATAATTACAAAGAAGCGTGATATTTTTAAGAACAATCATTTACATCTTGCTGCAAAATTATCTCCTCCTTCTCAACTTGAGAAGGTATCTGGAGCAGCCCTACAAATGCAAAGGGAACTGCAATGGTTTAAGGTAATGTATTTGTGTATCCCATTGTGATTGTTATTCGAGTCAGTGCATCCAAATTTTCATCATCTTATGTTGTTTCTTCTGATACACAGGAAGTCGAGAGCATAGTACAACCCAAACTTAAAGAGGAAAAAAATGCGATCAACAAAACACCCAAAATGTTATTCACTGATGAACACGAGAAATTAGTCAAAGTAGCAGAGGACTGGATGAAAAGCACAGCAACATCATGCATGATAGTAGGCACTCTAATTGCTGCTGTAATGTTCACAACAGCTTTCACAGTACCAGGTGGTAATAGAAATGAGACAGGATTGCCAACAATGTTGGAAACTCAAAGAACTCCATTCTTGATTTTCATGATTTCAAATGCCTTGTCGATGTTCAGTTCGACTACGTCGCTATTAATGTTCTTAGGAATTCTTACGGCGCGTTATGCAGAAGAAGATTTTCTCAAGTCCTTACCTAAGAAATTAATAATTGGATTGACGTGTCTGTTCTTTTCGATTGTTACCATGATGGCATCCTTTGGTTCTGCATTGTATTTGATTCTGCATGAGAAGTTGTCTTGGGTTACCATTCCGATCATCATCCTCTCAACAATTCCGATAGCAATTTTCTCCATCTTGCAGTTTCCTCTCTTGATTGAGATGACAATTCAGACTTATGTAGGCAGGATATTTGATAAACCTAAGAAGAAATCCTGTTTTGCTAAGTTTCGAGTGTATGGTTGAATAAATAGCATTTGATACTATTGAGGAAGAAAAATAATATTATCAGTCATGCTATATGGTACTACTGAATGTGGTGCCCCAAATGTGTTGTTTGTTCATTTTGGTTTCTGTCATTTTAAATGTCGATGTATCCATGGTGTTTTTTTTAATAAGAATTCAACTTGTTGAAGTACTTCTCTTTTAGCCACATGCCATTGATGAATTCTATTTCGCCTTTATTAAATTAGAGCTTATGTGCTTGTTCTAACAAACGTCGCCTAACAAAATTGTTTCCCTTGTGCCTCATTTTAATAGCTAGGAGAAAAATTGATTATTATTTCATTCATTAATCATACATACACTCATTCATCCATAAATAAATGCAATCATTCAAATAAGCACATAGAACAAATCTAGGAATCACTCAACTATAAAATCATGCAATAAATCAAGAATTAGAATTACAACATAAACAATTCTAGACCTACGCTGGTCCATTAGGATTTGGGGGGGTATCAAAATAAGTTTAATGGACGAGATCTTTACTAGATTGCTATGTGTCGCATTTCTAATCAATTGCCACGTAAGTGTTTAGAATTTACACCTATTCCAAGCAATAAATTTCTTTATCTTCTTACTTGAGGTTGATTGATTTGCAAGCTTCCAACCCATCCAATAATAGTTACTGTCTTGATCTACAAGCTTTTAACATTGAGCTCTTCTCTCTGATCTTCTCCAAAACCTGGCTGCGCTTGATTTGTGGCACCAATAATGGAAGCTGTATTGGTATATGTATGTACTTTCACGGCCCATTAGATTTATGTATATAGAACTAAATCGACTTGTCCATTGTTCCAATACGGTTGGGATTCAAATTATAAAGGAAACTTGATAACCAAGGTATGTTGATAATAAAATTATGTGATTGTAAAATAGTTGTGACCTGTAAAATTTGTGAATTGTGATCGAGAAATAATATGTGACCTAGTAATTTGATAATTCATGATCGATAAAATAAATTGTGACATAAAAAATTTGTGATTTGTGACTAATAAATATTACGCGATCAATTAATTTGATAATTGTAACCAAAAAATAAGTTGTGAATCCATAAAATTTGTAACTACTATTGTAAATTGTACAATATTGTGATATTAATATATTTAATTAATACAATATTTTTTAATGTATTATTTAATTAATTAATCTTAATTAAGACATAATTTTTGAAACTTTAAAATTATTTTCTTAATTTTGAAATTGTGTATTATAACTACCTTAAATATGAATTTTTTTTCCTAATAGACATGACTTTTCCCTTTGATGCTTAGCACTAGGCCGATTATGATTAGGCCCAATTAAGCAAACATTATAATATCGAAGTGCCTATGTTCATTTAAAAAAGTTGGGCCACCTTGCTTCAATGTTGTCCTGCCAATTTGAGGCTCGGTTTGAGCTCCATTTTTTGTGAAAAATGAATTTTGTAATAATGATTTTTTGTGAAGATTGTGGGGATAAAGAGTATCCATGTAAAATTATTTTACTGAGAGAATGTGATTAAAAATGAGTTATGGAAAAAATTTATTAATAAAGTGTTGTTTTTACAACTATTTAAATTAGATAAAAAAAATATTTTATTTAGTGCAAATTACATAAATTTTCCAGGCTGTTGCTTATTTCACTCGCCCGCTACAAAACTTATTAAGAGGTGTAGCATAATCTCTTACACTTTGATTTTTATTTGCGTATCTTAAAGATTTGAGATTTTACTTATCAGAAAATTAATTAATCCAAAGTTAGGTTAAATGTTTTCCTCTTAAATTTTTATTTTATTTTTATTTTCACGTAAATACTTTTACTTTCTCGTGGTTAATTTAATTAAAAAGAAAAAAAGGAGGAAATTTGAAATCATTTTAATTAGGAACATCATTGGTTTCCAAATTTTTTTTGTAAATTTTGTTTGTCTTCACAATGTGCAGCACATTGTTGGCCCTCCAAGAAGTTGAGAACAATTGCTTGGAATACACCAGTTTGTGGACAGCAAAGAAGAAAAAAAGAGAGAGAGAAGACAAAAGGTAAAAGTAAAAAAAAAAAAAAATAATAATAATGTACCTTACTTAAGCATAGAGTAATTCTATATTATGCATCTATAAAGTCTGATTGCCCTTCTTGATGATCATAGCATACTTACAAGTGTTATCCCAGTGAAAGAAGATGACAAAATTAAAGTCAAGTAAGATGATTTTAATTTACTTTGCATTGTTTGTTGGGTCTGTGGTTTTTTCTAAAGTTTCTTTTTTGTCTCGAATTCTATTATAGAATTGCTAGTTTTATGCTTTGAATAAAACTCCTAAAGTAACCAAGAATGTATTATTTTTCTGTGGTCCCCTTACAATGCCAGGCACTTCAACTTTCTCGACCAGTTTGAAAACATTGTTTGTCACCCAACTTACAGCATTGTTTCATTTAGTCATCAAACTTTCTTTTCTTCTGCTTTAAGTTTTTCGCTGATTTTTCATTTTGATTGGTGAACAGATAAAAAGCATAATCTAGCAGGTTTGGGAATTGTGCCGGAGGAGCTAACTGAGATAACATTGAATCTTGGAAAAATTGCTTGAAAAATTATTTGGTTGGGAATGGGCTTTGGAGTGTTGTCTCTGGTCAGGAGATTGAACCAGATATGACAAATAAACAAGTGCATGAAGAATGGAAGAAAAAGAATTCTCTGGCTTTGCATGCAATTCAACTTTCATGTGGACTAGCACTATTTTCTAAGTTTAAAGATCCCCACATTTCTGCTCAATATGCATGGACTCATTTGGCTGAGAGAGCTTCGGGAAAGGCACAACAGCCAGTGCCAATATTAGATTATGTTAAAGAAATTCCAATTGAAGATAATGGTAAATGTATCAATCTTTGTGAGAAACTAGCTTGTCTAAAATCTTATCATATTAGAAGAAACGTGAAATTGAAATATTGGTTCTCAATCGTTAAAATTGAGTAAGTTAGTCATCAACCTTTCATTATAGTTGCACACTCAATTCTCAAAGACCGAAACAATTCAAATCTCCATCACATTGTCATGCAAACTTGGGTAGCTATCTAGAAATTTTAAGTGAGACATTCTTCCACAAGAACAATGAGGTCGAGCAAATTTTCCCTTTTATTTATTCGATCTTTGTATTTGACACAACACCTCACATACAGGTTGAATTCATTGTTTGCAGGGTTGGGAGAGTACCTTGATTACAAGTCCTTATACAAGGTAATTGAAGAAGGTAACTTGAATCATACAGAAGTTTTCCTTCAGCAGAAGCCAAATGCCATTAGGACAAGAGTTACATTACACGACGATACAGCTCTGCACATTGCAATTTTGTTTGGAAAAATTGCAATTGCAGAAAAACTTGTAGATTTGATGAACGCGGATGACTTACAAATGATAAATGATCATGGTGCTACGGCATTGTCCCTTGCTGTGATCTGTGGTGTGAAGAAGCTGGCTAAGACAATGATGATTAAGAACAAAAATTTAGTTAGAATTGCAAGTGTAGATCATGAAGACGGGCAACTTCCTGTGATTGTGGCTGCATTGTATGGACAAAAGGACATGGTTCGTTATTTATACAGAGTGACGCCAAAACATGAGCTAAGTCCTGAAAGGGGTGATAATGGAGCCACACTACTTAATTGTCTTATTACAGCTGAAATTTATGGTAAGTGAACGCATAATGTGAAAAGTCTAATCACACCCTGCGTTGAGTCCATCAATTGCAGATCAACCTTATATTAATGCACATATAAAATTAGTCAATATCAGATATTAATTTTAGCCACAATTCATAACTACTATTCATTATTATCTATGGGACCAACTAGTATTACTCTTTATAAATTGATTTATTAATTTTTCAAATGGAGGCTATATGTTTTCTGATTTCATTTTACTAAAAGTTGTGGTTGTGATTGAGATTAGGCATAATCCCCATGACACGGATACCTAATTCTGGCTGTTTTCTTAATGTAGATGTTGCTTCTAAGCTATTGAAAAGGTACCCAAAGCTGGGTGTTACCCCAGATCCTAGTGGCAATTTTGCACTCGGAATATTGGCTCACAAGCCCTCTGCATTTTATAGTGGGACTAAGCTTAAATTTTGGGAAAGATGCATCTACAGTTGTAAGTATACAAATGCTCTCCTATTAATTTCATTCGCAAACAATGTACCACAAGAGCACATTTAGATAAATTTGAATTTTAGTACAAAATAACAAACGAGCTATAAATGCACATGTTGAACATGATCATTTTGAAAAGTATTCCGTGTCTGGACTTTTTACACAAGGTTTAAGAGTACGTTCACCTTGGGAAAGTCATCATGGTTCTCATGACAATGAGCATGTAGAAATGCAAACATCAAGTAGTATTGATGATCACAATATTCAAATTGAATCATCCGATGAAGATATGATCGAAGGGAAGGCACATGGAGGCCTAACTATAACAACGCGAGGTACATCAAATCACACCATATTCCTCCTCTTCTTGTTCAAGTCTTCTTCATACATCCTAAATTTAGTTTTAGAGGTACAAATCAGGCAAGGATGACTCCTGGACTAACCCTGGCTCAGCTAGGCCAGTCCATCCTGGGTCAAAATCATTTTTAATTTATTTTAAACATGTGGATCCATGGATCTTCGAAGTGGGCTGACTATGTCGTGGCCTATGATGGGTCCGTCTGTGCTTTCATTAAGTGGCATTAGGCTTTTATAACCCAGTACATTTTGACACCTTTCAGTAAAGTCTTGTTTTGCAGCTCTGGTGCGCAAATTCGGTTGGGGGATATTGCAACTCTTTGGTATGTATTATCTTCCCATATATAAAATTTCTGCTACGTATTGGAAATCTATTACATATGATGGGCTATTTAACATTAGTTTTCTTAATTTTCAATTCCAGAGATAAATTACATATATCAGAGGAAGTTAGTCCATGTCGAAGTTGCGAAATTTCTAAGTGTCGTGTTTGAAGAAATGCCACAACCGAGCAAATCACAGCTCGAAAAAATGCACATCGATCAAATAATATATGATGCCATACAGCATGGAATTCTTGAATTTATAAAAGAAATGATTAAATGGAATCCTGAAATTATAAGGAAAAGGGATAAAAATGGGAAAACAATTTTTTCGCACGCAATTGCTTTGCGTCAAGACGAGATTTATAGCCTTATATTTGATTTAGGAACAAAGAAGAGTATAATTGCAAAGAAGCATGATATTTTTAAGAACAATTTTTTACATCTTGCTGCAAAATTATCTCCTCCGTCTCAACTTGAAAGGGTATCTGGAGAAGCCCTACAAATGCAAAGGGAACTGCAATGGTTTAAGGTAATGATGTGTGCCCGGCCGAGCGCGTGTATGCGTGCGCACATGTGTGTATCCCATTGTGATTTTTTTCGAGCTATCATATCTAAAGTTTAAACTATTGAAAGATATCATATACTTATTTATTCAATTTTATATCAAGTCCATGTTTGTCTCCTTTTAAAATAAAATTTTTTAATGTTCATACTATTTTCACCCATACATTCGTACAATAAAATAATTTACACTTAAACCCAAAACTTTTCCTACTTTCTAATTATACATTCTCCAAAAACACTATTCAAAACATCATTTTTTCAAAATAATAGCGAAGGGCTAAATGTTCTCTCTCTGCAATACATGTACAATTTTCATAAATAGGTAACAATTATTAAAGACGTAATTCACATAAATAAGTTTGTCTTGTTTCTAAAAATTTAAACTTTAGATGAGGTAATATTATATGGTACTAATTAGGTAATGGTCCCGAGTTCAAGTCGTGCCACCCTCTATTTATGAAAAATTGTGCACATGATTTCATCCCAGAATGGAGTCTCAAGAGACTGACCATATCGTATAGTTTTTTTATTCCATATTAAGAGGCAAAATTGGAATTCATGACATTTTATCTACTCTAATGCTACGTTGATCTATCTTATCCAAAATTTTGATTCATCATCTTATGTTGTTTCTTCCAATACACAGGAAGTCGAGAACATAGTACAACCCAAACTCAAAGAGGAAAAAAATGAGTTCAACAAAACCCCCGAAATGGTATTCAGAGATGAACACAAGAAATTAGCCAAAGAAGCAGAGAACTGGATGAAAAACACAGCAACATCAAGCATGATAGTGGGCACTCTAATTGCTGCTGTAATGTTCACAACAACTTTCACAGTACCAGGTGGAAATAAAAACGACACAGGATTGCCAACAATGTTAGAAACTCAAAGGACTCCATTCTTGATTTTCATGATTTCAAATGCCTTGTCGATGTTCAGTTCGAGTATGTCACTGTTGATGTTCTTAGGAATTCTTGCGACACGTTATGCAGAAGAAGAATTTCTCAAGTCCTTACCTTTTAAATTAATAATTGGACTGACGTGTCTGTTCTTTTTGATTGTTACCATGATGGCATCCTTTGGTTCTGCATTGTATTTGATTCTGCAGGAGAAGTTGTCTTGGGTTACCATTCCGATCATCGTCCTTTCAACAATTCCGATAGTAATTTTCTCCATCTTGCAGTTTCCCCTCTTGATTGAGATGACAATTCGGACTTTTGGAGCTGGGATATTTGATAAACCTAAGAAGAAATCTTGTTTTGCTAGGTTCCGAGCATGTTGGCAAGGTTGAATAAATAGTATTTGATACTACTGAGGAAGAAAAAGAATAATATCAATCATGCTATACGGTACTGCTGAATATGGTGTCCCAAATGTGCTCTTAGTTCATTTTGGTTTCTGTCATTTTCTAAATGTTGATGTATCCATCGTGTGTTGTTTATATGAATTCAACTCGCTGAAGCATCATTTTCTTTTATCCACACGCCATTGATGCATTCTATTTCTCCAGTATTTAATTAGACCGTATGTGCCTGTTCTGTTGGAATAAGACAAATTTGACCCTCATACTTTCTACAATAATTCATGTATTGAATCCAGTCAAGTGTCTCATAGAATTCCATTGTTTGGGAAATCATCTTGAATTCTTAGCATGTATAAATAGAACCATATGTTGCAGTATTTTATAACCCAAATTATCTTGCCTTCAAACTGGTGTTAGATTTGTGAAAAAAGAAAAAACAATGTCCTAATAATTTTGTTTCCTTTTGCCTCATTTTAATTGGAAAAAATTTGGTTATCATTTCATTCATCAACCGTACATACATCCATTCATTCATCCATAAATAAATCCAATCATTCAAATAAACGCATAGAACCAGCCTAGGAATCGCTCAACTATATAATCTTGCAATAAATCAAGAATTAGAATTTCATCAGAAACAATTCTAGACCTAAGCTGCTCCGTTAGGACTAGGAAAAACAAAAACAAAAAAAAAATTCAAAATAAATTTAATGAACCAGATCTTTACTAGATTGCTATGTGTTGCATTTCTAATCTATTGCCACATAAGTGTTTAGATGTTACACCTATTCCGAGCAGTTAATTTCATCATCTTCTTGCTTGAGGTTGATTGATTTGCAAGCTTCCAACCCATTGAATAATTGTTACTGCCTTGATCTACAAGCTTTTAACCCTTGGCTCTTCTCTCTGATCTTCTCCAAAACCTGGTTGCACTTGATTTGTGGCACCAATAATGGAAGTTGTATTGGTATATGTATGCACTTTCACGGCCCATTAGATTTATGTATATAGAACTAAATTGCCTTGTCCATTGTTCCAACACGATTGGGATTCAAATTATAAAGGAAACTTGATAACCAAGTTATGTTGATAATAAAATTCTTCTTATGACTTGGTCAAACCCACATTTTAACTCATCAAAGATTGTCTTTGCTTTTTATGAAGGGCTGACTTCAGTCGAAGTTTGACCCGATCAGCTTTGCTACATGTTAATTCAATTATTTCCATAATTAAATCCCACATTTTTTTATTTTTTATTTTAGCAGCTATCAAAGGTTCCTAATCGGACTTATATAATTCACGCTTCCGATAGTTTGGGGCCAATATCTCGGATCCATATTGTCCGATCCAAATATTATTTTACATTTATTCCACTAAAGCCCACAATTGCACTGTCAAATTATATAAAATCGCATAAGGAATATTATTTCAATTCTCCATAGTTACATCCTTTTGACTTGCTATCTATATGTTCGACAAACAATTATTAAATAGTGACGGGTCAAAATGAATGTTTTTCCCTTTTAATTATTATGTCACTTAAGCTACCATTTTTTTCTAAGTTTTCTTAATTTACAAACACATTTTGGGATTATTCATGCATTCCCAAATCAGACTTAAATTGAAGAAAATAATTAAGTTGTTTCATTAGCCTATTTGCATAGGGAAGGATTTTGAAAATGAATGTGTTCACTAATTCGTCCGTTTTCAGTTCCTAACTTATCGAGATGTTTAACCATATAATTAGATCTTATTCGTTTTCACTAATTCGTCTGTTTTCAGCTCCTAACTTATAAAGATGTTTAACCATATAATTAGATCTTGAAGGATTTTGAAAACGAATGTGTTCACTAATTCGTCCGTTTTCAGCTCCTAACTTATCGAGATGTTTAGCCATATAATTAGATCTTACTCATTTGCACATCAAATATTCTAAAGTTCACAAATAGCGAACACTACCTCCTTTTCGAATTCAAGTAATCTATATATAAAATAGTTATTTAGAGTTTAATTCTTTGCACGATCATTCCATAGAATTAAGCTCTATCTAGATATTCTACCTGATGCCCTTCGAGACACATTCGGTGGACTAGTTTTACAACTCCTGAGATCGTCTAGCCACGACTCACGATCAAGACTAATTGCATATTTCAATAGCTAATCCCATTACCTTATTAAAACAAAGTGTCAAAGTTTGCTCATTAGTCTAGGGCAATTAATTTTCAGTTACTATACAAATTGTGGATGGCTATACTTTTTAACGCGAGTACACTATTTTTATATCACCCATCAATGGAAGACACTCCGTTAAATGCTCAATAAATGCATCAATTTGTTTAAGAAAAACAAATAATAAATATAGAGTCAACATTCAAAATTCTCAGCTATTACAGTAAAATTTTAATTCTGTATAGTGATTTTTTTGGAGAATGTGTGATTATAAAAAGAGAATTTTATTTATTTATTTTTATTTTTTGAATTTGAGGGTAAATTTATTTGAAAGGAAAATGTGTGGTTGAAAATGAATTTTAGAAAAAATTGTTTTGGGAAAAAAAAGGAGCTGCTAAACTTGCAAAACAAACGCAATGAAGAAACTAATATTTTCTCTTTCTTGGCCTTTTTCTTGTAAGTTAGGTAATTGATTGGAACACTTGCACTTTAATAAACAGAGCGAGAAACTTTCAAAAGCAGTGCATTAAAAATTGCTTACTTAGGCCATCTCCAATGGTGGCACCAAACCATCAAATTGCACCAAAAAATGATGTAAAACTACTCGAATGCAATACCAAACTTTGCACTATTTAGGTGCAAATGGTCCAAAGTCATTTTTACCTTTTATTTTCATTTCCCATATAAATGGATTAAGGGTATTTGTGT